TATTAGGTAGGCTTCGAAATTTCGAGTCGTTCTGCTTTTAATGTAGTATCCCACAGTAACGCCCATAACATAAAGAAAACCACGATTGATTTGGACTCAATCTTCAACCTTCCCTAGTGCAGTACAGATTGTGACGAAGCTGATCCACTGGCAAGATAATTGGTGTTCGTATTGTGTTGCAAGTTCGGACATCCGCACTTAATATCTCGCTGGGGATTCTGATGTGTCTGAGGCGAGAACAGCCTTTATAAAGGTATGTATGAAATATATTATTCCTATTTAGTTTAGGATGATAAGGGGACTGGCAGTTGAATTTTCCCACAGCAGTATGAATAGACATGATGTTTACATTTAATCTCACATATCATTTCTTCCCAGAAGTTACTCACCTCCAAGGTGGACTGTAGTTTCGATCTCGCCTATACTTATCAAATCCCCCAGAGGAACCCAAACCATGGCACTGCAGTCTATAATCTCGACACATAAACCATTACCCCACATTGCCAAGAGTGACCTTGAGCCGCAGGGGATATACGAATTTCAAGGAGGGCCAGGCATTTTTCCCATATCACATTCTATGGTCTATGATGTACAGGTAGTCTCGAAAGCCTACTTATAAAACGAAAAATAAGTAACGAACTCGATTGCTATCGCAAACTCTACTGTTTTAAATTGACAACCCTACCACAGAATGTGATATGAGAAAGATGCCTAGCCTTGCTTGAAATTCACATATGCTCTGTGAACCAAGGGCCCTTGTAGAAATGTGAACTAGTTGCTAACGTGTCGAGATTATATGCTGCAATGTCATGCTTCGAGTCCCGCTGGGGGTGCAGATAAGCCTGGGCGAGCTGGAAATGGCAGACCAGCCTGGAGGAGAATAACTTTTGGGAAATCAAAGTTATGTGAAATTAAACGCAAACGTCCTGTCCACTCATGTCATTATGGGAAAATTCACCTACCAGCCCCTTATCACCCTAAGCGAAATAGAATGAATACACCGCGTATATATGATCTACAGGTAGTCTCGAAAGCCTACCTATAAAACGAAAGTTATAAATGTATGTTGATGAATTTTGTTTAGGATTTAAATCTCCTCTTCAACCTAGAGTAGAAAGAATAGCCACCAGCTATTTTGAACCTGAAAGATATCGTAACATCTTGTCATTCTCCAGGTTCGTTCATTGCCCAGAAACCCATTTGGGCTCAAATGACAAGGTTTCAGAAGTAGGTGTGTTACCGAGTTTTTCCCATGCTACTAGGATAAAGTACAAAATTCAAGGTAAGATAAGCATCTCCTGATTTACTTTAATTCTAGAAGAAACAAGAGTTTCTACTTCCTCCAATTGTGATCTCATACGTGTTGCCTACACTTCACCAGAGGATCTCGTTTATAAGTGAATTTGTCCATTTGACCTATTACTTGTTCAGGAAGAGTAACACTTCTCTTAAATTCCCCAAGGAAAGACCAACCATCTGTGTTCTAATCGCCAATCAACCACCCCAAGTTCAAAGTGGATCAAAGTGTGCTACTCGCGAGCTCCCAAATCTGCTTCTAAATAACCGTAGAATGCAGATTATTGGGATAAGTTTAGATGAAGGAAAGAAGTGAAAAAGATTTAAATTAGTCAGGTTTATATAATTCTTCAGTAATGCCCACCTTTTCCCTCTTTTTAGAAAGGCGCTCACTCTTCGTGAAAGAGTCCATTCCGCAATGGACTATTGCGTCAGGTGCCGCATGCACTGCGTAAGGTTGGTGATGACCTGAAGTACTCCGGCGTTGTCCGCCTCTGCGCAAGCTATTTTTGGAACCCAAATAATTGGCCTGCGGACTAGGAGACACTCGTGATCCACTTCCGCCACTGCCACTATTCATGGCACTGATTGATTTACGAGTTAGCTGCCCAGAGGTGATTGCCAAATTTTCCGTCGATCTTAATCCTTCAGTTTGGCTTGTGCTCCCTAGTTTCGGAGATAGAGATCTGGATAGAAGATCAGTCACTTTCGCTGTCAGTGAGGCAGAGGGACTTGAACTCATGGCCACATCGTCGGCATCAAAGGCTCCGTGATCGACTTTGTCATGAGTTGTTGCGGCTCGGCTCCCTTCATTGTTTTCGCCTACGCATTCCTCATCTACCTCTTCTCCATCTCGCTCCTCTACGCCGCCCAGCTCCTCCAGGGTATCGTCGGCAGCTTCGTCCTCGGAGTTAGCCGACTCTTCAGCGTCTGAACTAGCCACTCTGGAGCAGGACTGCCACAAAAAAAATAATTATAGGCCAAAGTTTAGATTTTATATTCAACTTTAGAGTAAGTATTGTCTAATTTTCATGCTGAAACTATTACTAGGAGAATTGCTCCTTGTCCCAAACAGCTTCCTGGTAGTAGAAAGTACATATGCTAGAAAAATGCTTTCACAAAATGTAAAGGAAAAAATTTCATTTCGTTTTAACATAAAATAAATATCTCCTATCATACTCACGAATAATTTAGTGCTAGCTGCCAACCAGAAATATTCATAAGAAAGTCCAATTAAGATAACGATTTCAGGAATACCAAACATTCGCATCTAGAGAGTTGTCCTTTGCCGTAAAAACAAAAGATGAAATGGAAGGTAATAAAGGCCAAGATGAAGTGGGCTCTATTTTAATCGCATTCTCCTTTCGCTTTGCAGAAAAAAGGTGACCTAGTTTTCATAATTTGATCGTGTTATGAAAGCACTTTATCCGGTATCCGCTGCCATGGGAGTTTTGGTACTTTCCAGCCTCGGACTATGAACTTAGTACATTCCTAGACGTTCAGTTGGCATTCTAGTCGGCAACTTCAGTGATCCTTGATAGTGTCAGCACCAAGCAACAACTCGTCGCAGAGATGATCGAAGTGCGTCCTTTGGCCAACTTTCTGCTGGATTGTTGTGGTTTCTCTCCTGTTATGATACATTCATGTACCCCATATTAGCGTGTTTCACTACCTATCTCTCTCTCTCTCTCTCTCTCAACATAACAAGTACTAACTTGTTAAGTATGTAGATACGAAGAAAAAATTGGGTTTAGATGGGTGAAACATGCCGACCTATTCGACAAATATTGGGAGAACACAAAAATGCTCAGCCCGTTTTCACCCGAAACGAGGGAGGAAATCTCGTGAACTACGTCAACATGAACATCGTATAAAAACCAGACGGCTGCAGTAAAACGGAATTCATCCGTCCTCATTAGGTGAGATCGACCAATGAATCTCCTCTTCATACACTTTCATACGAAATGAAAGGCCCCCCAACATTGTTAATTATGGCCTTCTCTATAACCGTGACTTTTTTGGCAATGAGGGTGGGAAGGGAAAGAGAAAACTAGCGAAGAATGTGTTTAGGTCTCGGTTAATCGTTCAAAAGGAACTAGGTCGAAATAAACAAATTAATAGTTGTGATAGTAGAGGAGAGAGATATTCGAATGTACCAGGACAAGACAGTTCAGCAAAATGTTGGTCAAAGGAAGGACTAAACTTGCCTCTTTTTACAACTTTTAGCTTGGTGATATGACTGACAAAGGTCACTGTCGCTACCACGAGACACCTTTGAATGTACCAAGCACATGGTCAGACGCTAGAATTTCTCATTACTATAATGGCAAAGGACTCGAGACCAGGTGCTTTGATCGAGATTCTGATTATAAAAACTAGCTTAAATTAATTGCGAATGTATTTGATGGAATCGTCTCTAAGATCAATGGTTTTGACAGTTGCATAAAATATTTTATTTTTCGAATGAAGTATTGTTTTTCGTGACTAACAGTAAATCAGTCATAAGATGTATTCACCCAATTTCGTTTAAGGTGATGAAGGACTGGTAGAAGTAGAAT